GTACATAACAATTAGTGCCCAAATGTGCAGGTGGTAAAATACGTGGTTTGAAATTTGTGCATTTTAAATTTTGAATAATTTGGAATATTTTTTTTTTCCTTCTAGAACATACTTGTATTTACATGACTGCGACAATGGCTTAATTTCGCTCAGATCCTTGAAGGAAAAGAATAATCCAGGATTAAAATACTTAACTTTTTTTTTCCCCTCTATAAAGTGAAAATGTGTTGCAACTTCTTACAAGTTTTTAGCTATTATTTTTTTGTTTCAGTTTCAGGACTGTTTTTAAACAGTTTGGACTGGATTTAACCAGCTAGACACATTTAGTTCACATGAACATATAGATTGTGCAGGTAGTAACCTTTTGACATGAAAGTGGTGCTAAAAAAATCTTAATAATCTCAATTATGAAGATGTATTATTTCTAAATCAAGGTGGAGTAAGTACAGGTAAAAATAAGACCAGAAACAGTGCCTTTGAGGTGATGATTCCTCTGTTTAAGCTTGTGTTAATGTTGTTGCTAATGAATACACTTTAAATGTCAGTATAATTTCACAGCTGTTTATCTCTTGGTAGAGGGAAAAATTGTAGTAGGAGGTAAAAAAGGTCTGACTCCTCTGAGAAGATTCTGTGTTTTTGTTTCCACCTTGCCACGTTTGGAAGGCACTGTTTGCCAGTGTTTGCAGACTTGTGGAAATGAGGTGTGGGTTTAGTAAGGTATTTTAGAAAGGCATTTGGTTCTTGCCTCTAGAGCTGTGATTTTTGCTTCAAGTTGATTCTGGTGCTTGGATTAGGATGAAAGTAGGGATAACATAAGCTCGAAGACTATGTTGTGCTTGCTGTAACAGTTTTAAATTTTAGTAATTAGTCAGTCTTTTGAATGGTGCTTCTTAAAAACAGCTATTGTGTATGCAGGCTCTCTCCAGCAGTGACTGTTTTTGATGCTCTATTGTTTGAGATGACCCCTGAGTTGAACTCTCTGAAACTCAAATGTCTAATGTTCTTCATCAGGCCATGGTCTATAGATCCATTACAATGGAGCTGGAGCCTGCTTACAGCTTGGGAGCAAACCCAGACCTGTCTGTCACTAGCAATAGGGGAATGCCACAAGCGCTTAAGTTCTACTTGTGTCACTCTGCTTTGATAGTGGCAGTCAGGATTTAAACAGATCTCCCAGCTGGGGAAAAAGGGCTTAGGAAAAGACAGAAAAACTTGCTTTAACTTATTTAGGTAAAAAGTTTGTTTCATTGCCTTTGTTTTGTTACCAGTAGTTTGCCAGAAAGTCTATATTTTCCCTAGTTTGTTCTGTTTTCTCCTATTTGATACACATTATTACTTCCCCACTTACAGGCTTTGTGGATTTCAGATGAGAAAGCAGAAGGATGTAATTTCCATTACTACCTTCTCTTTGTTAAGGAATTTTTCCCTCTCTTGGATCATCCCAAGCAGATAAAGTCAGATTGGATTGAAAAGCCCCATTCATAGATTGAAAGATATACAGACGCTATTTTAGTAGTCCAGCCCTTCATGGGCTGAGTTGATGTGCTTCCACACTTTTGGTCAGGAAAAGACTCAAGCGTACTAGATAAGATGATGGAGTGTGTGCACGCATCTTGTCCACTTGTATGTCCGGCCCTCATACCCTTTCTGAAATTCCAGGAAACAAAGAAGTGGGTGAATCAGCAGGTCTTACAAAAACAGTGTGTCAGTTAAATCTTCACAGATTTAGCAGCAGCCACAGCTGTGACTGTAAAACTTACCATCATCTTTCTGCTTCCTCTTGAAATGGCAGGTCAAAGGCAAGAGACCTCCCAGGGCAGTGTCTTCTCTGATGCTATATATACACTATAAACTTTTTTCAGAAAAGCTTCCTGAGATTTTTCTGAGTGTATAGATGACTAGAGACAGTGTACACATGCTTGAGCTGTATGGGGCACTATGACAGAGAGGAAGGATGTTGCTGGTCTTTCACAGATTCTCTTTGCAGCCTTTACCTCTTTCCTGGGTACCCAGAACAGGCTAAGTGAGAAAGACAGAAACTAATTCTAGGTTCTCAGTACTGTGAGGTGCCTGTTCACCTGAAATATGTTGGTTCTGGAGGCACAGAGGAGAAAACACACAAAAAAATTGATTTTAGATTTTTATTTAATGGATTATTTCTAGAGAAGAAATGTGTCAGGGCAGTGAGTTTCTTGCATTTAGGCAGAGCCTATCAAGAGAACCATCAGAAAACAGTGATCTCTTGTTGTGTGACTCCCGGCCGTTTCATTTTAGCAGTTTAGCCCTCTCTCTAGTAGGTCCTGTTACAGCAATGTTTTCCTGTAATGCCTTGCACAAAGTTCTTTAAACTAGAAGAAAGAACATGTTTCCTCTTAAACAAAATACTGATCTGTTACCACTCAACTGGATTTGAGCTGCATTTTTTTCCATTTTTAGACTATAACTTGAATAGATTATGGAATCATAGTCCAATCACAGAATCCAGTGTATCTCTTAATCCTAAATTTCCAAGTAATTCCATATGCTACTACTTGGTTTAAGTGCTGTGGGCAACCTTTTTTATTCCAGTTCCTCTGATACTAGATTTTGGTATCGTGTATGCAACTAATCTGTTAGCCCTTAGCAAACACTGAGGCTATTAGAACCAAACCAAGCAAACATTTACACTATTATAAGTAAATCAGCTTTCTCCATGTTGTTGGTTTCTCATGTCATTAATAACCTTACATATCAGAATATCTTTTGCTGGATCAGTATTGCTAGTTGATATTTACATATTTTTCTTCAAAACCAAGAGTAATTTTCTACAGGTAAGTATAACATTAAAAAAAAAAAAAAAAAAAAAGGCAGCCCAAGTGTTTGCATGCCTTGGGCTGTAAAATTAGAGACCTGTGATTATTTATATCATGAGGTGGTCAAAGTTTGTTGCACTGCATTTGCAGTATGAAATAAACTCTCATGCTACAGGCTCATCAGTTCGAGGTGGTTTTGTCTCTGCTTAGAGAAGTTAGCCAGATTGCACGCCTGTGAATCAGAGAAACCACACACCCCTGCATGAGTGCACATTTCTCCCCCCTCACCCCTGCCCCAGTTCTTTCACAGAACTCATTCTTGGCTTTCATTGCTTTCCCTCTTAAGACCAGGCTGTATAACCGGGGAACCCTTGAGAGCTCTATGCTAAATACCCGTGTCCTTGTGGTCACTGGCACCATACCTCCCCTTAGTCAGAAATTTGCTTATGCCTGTTTGTGGGGGTTTTGAGAATGGTTCTAATGCTGTCATGGACTGTAGTGGACTGACTCTAAATAGTTTGGAAGTTTGAGATCCTACCTAAAGTATCTATAAAGTACTGTACTTTGGTACCTTTCAAGTGTGAGAAAGCTAGTTTTACTTATCCACATGAAATAGTCTGAGGCAGCTATTGCATGAGTGCTGTATCTGTAGTGCTTTGCCATCCTTGGTTAAGCAACTTCCTGTTGGAACCACTGATCTGTGTAACACTACTGTATGCGACAGAAGTGATCAGGCTGTGTGCTATCTTGTATGTGTTCAAACCTACTTCTAAGTACTGATTTTGAGAAAACTAGGTTTAGATAACTCAGACTCAGGCGGGGGGGGTCACATTTAGTTATTTATTCAATTTTTCTATCATCCTGTTGGTAAACTTTGCTTCCATAACACAGTTTTACAGATTTTGCTTTTGGGGATAATTTTTGGGTTAGGCATCAGCTGAGGATGAAGGGAGGGGATATCAGTCCCCTAGTTGTGTCTGTTGTGGGCCTGGTAAACTGGAGAAATTGGGATTGCTTGCAATGTATTTTGCACTTAAAGCTTCTGACAATTTCCTAGAGGGATCCTAAACTGCTGTTACCAGTAGCTCTAGTTAGTGGCTGTTAACTCTGTTGGGACTGGCAGCTTCAGCTCAGTGCTAGTTACAGGTTGGATGGTTGGTTTGTTTTTTTATAAGTTTCTGGTGAATAGAAAATAAGCTTTTCGGGAAAGACAGCAATATGGAACAGATTCAAACCATTATCTATAGGCTTCTGTTGCCCACCTTTTCTTTATTTGCTAGTTGCAGATTGTGAGCTTGTATGTCATGAAAGGAACGAAGACTACTGTGGGGTTGGGGAGGTGGGGAGGGATCATGAAAAGCTGTGTGTATTCAGAGTGTAGAAAAGGGAAGAAAATAAAAATAGTGGGTGGGCGCATGGAAGAATGCTGTGTAGCAGCAAAGAGCCTGTGTGACTTTCATGGGTAGAAGTCATGCCTTGTGAATTATTAGATCTTGAGCAGGGGAGGGGGGAAACGTGATATTTGTGTAGCATTTAGGAAGTATATATTTGTGCTTTTATTAAAGCAAAAAACCTGTTGAAAACATCTATAAAACTTTAAAAAATAAACTTGGAAAACAAGTGGCTAAGAATAGTTGGTCAGTTTTAATAATAGGAGGACACTTACGGGTTGGAAGAAGATTTTTAAGGGATCTGTGCTTGGGGTATCATAGTCAGCATTTTCATAAATGTTACCTTGCTGGTATCTCCAGAGTTTGCTCGTGAAACCAAGTTACTCAGGGTAGTTAAAACTAAAGCTTAACTGGAACTCATTGCTAAAGGGAATCTGTTGTTTTGACTAAGGCAAAACTTTTATCGATAAATGCAGTGAAATCCATGTGGTGGGTGAGAGGGGCAATCTGAACAAGGCAAGTATCTATGATGATTTCAAAGTCTGTCACAACCAGCGATGCCTTCAAAATCTGTCAGAGGAAAAGACTGCTAGCACAGTAGTGACTAAAATAGATAATGTGAGAAGTTGCTCATAAAGGCTTTTAAAGCAAAATAGCAGACATACTAATGTTATCTTCGGATTTTGAATAATGGTGTAGTTTGTGTCATCTGTCTCAAAAGGGCTGAAATAAAACCCCAAAGAGCTATAATTTTTATTTGTTCTGTTAACGTGCAACAAATATGAACTTTCTCTTTTTTTTTTTTTTGTCTAACAGCATAAGCAGCACTATTATGGACGTAGACAGCACAATTTCCAGTGGGCGTTCAACTCCAGTTATGATGAATGGACAAGGAGTTCCTGCCTCCTCTGCAAAAAGCATTGCTTATAACTGTTGTTGGGACCACTGTCATGCTTGCTTCAGCTCCAGCCCGGATTTGGCAGATCACATTCGCTCCATACATGTGGATGGTCAACGAGGAGGGGTTGGTGTTACTTTCTGTTTTCTTGCTTTCTTAGTTGCCAATATTTTACTCTACTGACAGTAGCAAATTTTGTGTTTTAAAGTACCGGTTCTGTAGCTAGTGGCAACTGAGGTTGGGCCTTCATCAGTCTGGTATTAGGCATTCAGCTGTTGTCTTTTGTGTAGTTCACTTGATTCGATATTCTGTGGTTTTAATTGAATGCCTAACCTCAATAATGTAGTAAGTTCTTTTCAGTAAATGATTTGAGGCACTCAGATTTTTGATAGATCTGTTAAATTCTCAACATCCTGAAGCTGTTGTGGTATATCTTTCTTATACTTTGAATTAATTTTCTCAAAACTGTTAGTGTACATGTTACTACTTGTGAGCTCAGCTGAAGTCGTATCTTCATTATTTTTGTGAATGGAGTCTCACTAGAGGTAAAATGTATACATCTATAATAGGGAAGATGTAAGACTCGTTGACTCAAGAGTACGAAGTCTTACCAAAACAGCTCTGTCTAGTATTGATGGCAAGTATACCTTCAATATAATTGCAACTAGTAATTTTTTTTTTCTTTTTTAAACTGACGTATTTGTTTAACCATGTATATTTCAGTCTTAAGTCCTGGTCCAATGATGCGGTTTCTGTTTGTCTCACAATTTTAATGTTTCAAAACATCTTCCAGTAGAGTAATTTCAACTCTGTACTTAACTACCTGCCCTTCCCCAACCTCCCAAATTACCTTTGATGCCTGGAATATGTCATGTAAACTACCTTTACATCAAACACAAGCAGTCTGCCTGCTTTTGGCTCTGTGTGGTGCAGCTCTAATTTCTTGGAGAGCTAATATTAAATCTTAACCTAGTATAGTCATTATTTTTTGACTTACTGTCCAGTCACTTCTCCAGAAGTAAAATGTTAGGACATTACACTTTATCTTGAGTACATAAGAGACTTAAATAAAATGCTGCTTTGTATTACTTTAATTTGTTATGTAATTGTGTCACTGAGACAGCCATGACTCTGATTGTATTTAGCTAATGCTTTTTCGTATGATTGAACTTTCAGCTTCACATTTGGTGACTTTTTTCAGCACAAGCTCTAAGCAGAATCATCCATCCAGTGAGCTGGCTTTTTAGCGACCCATGAGATTATTTCTATAGTTCTGTTCATAGGTCTATACAAGTGTTACATGAATCCTGAATGAAACAACGAAATGGATGAGGTATATCCGTATTCTGTGGGCTTTAACATAACCGCATTTCTGGGGATCTTTGTCATGCCATCCATGACCCCTTTTCACTTCTTAAGAAGGGAATAGAAGATTTTTCAGTGTTTTTGGGGTTGTGCATTTTTTTCGTTTTGGATTTTTTTGGTATTGTATTTCTGTTCCCTTACCTTCCACATGACATGATTTGTGGACATTTTTGTTTAGAAAATATTAGACTATATTTGTCGTTCTGAAAGAGGAGGTTGTTGGAAGCACCAAGTGTCTGATAACTGTTGCATTCAGTTTACACTTTTTATCCCCCTGCTGGAGTTGGTTTATTTTTTGAGTTCTTCAGCTTGATGCTGTGGAAGGGGACGGGTCCTGTTTTGTTTCAAGGATTTGTCTGCCACCTGCTGGTGAGGTGTTTAAGTGGTATTAGAAATTATATTGTGGTTTTGGCTGGATTTCAGTTATTACTTAACTACAATGACTATAAATTTGAAGAAAAGTAGGGGTACTAACTGCTTATTGAGAACTTAAAAACAATGTGATAAGCATCCTTGTATGGTAGAATATGTATTTTCGAGCTGATACTGAGGTAATGGCTCACACCAAAACAGATAGATCCATGAAGAGCCCAGGAAGCTTTTTGATGAAGCAGTTTTACTTCCCAAATTTTTTTTTCAGAAATATTTTGGATTCAGCCTTTTGACAAGGGTTCCCAAGAAGCCTTGCCTGGACTTCTGGCGGGTTATTGTAAAACCAAGTGCTTGTCTTTTGGAGCTATTGCATTTCCACAACCTGTAACTTCATAGTAATACTCCTTTGCTGAGTTCCCTGCGGTCTGCAGTTGCTGATGGAAATATTGAGACAGTTATAGACCTGTTGCAGAGCTAGGAATCTTGGAAATTCCAATTGTGTGGATCAGGGGGATCTCAAAACTGAGGAGCAGCAGACACCAGAGGTTTAGGGGCTTGGGCCTTATGTGTCAGTAGATCTGGATCGGTCATACAGACATGCAGGGTTTTCCAGCTTTGTACTAGTAAGCTGGGTTATCTATATATTATACAGCAAGTACATAGCATTCCTGTGACTGCTCTTTTGTTTTGAAAACAAAAACACGGAGTTTTTTAATCTCCAAAAAAGAACAAGAAACTCAATTCCCATCAGTTTCCTGCAGTTCTTGCGGTTCCCAGGGACTGTATTTTCTGCTACAAATGAGAGCTATACCTCTCTTCACACACAGACCTGTTGAGGAAATTCTAGTGAAAGCCAATTTCATTGAGCTTTTTTATTCTCTTCGCTATAGATAGACACAATGAGAGGAGAGAGAAAAGCAGCATGAGTAAGCTCTACACCCCTTAAATGCAGTATTGTGCAGGTGACTGACCTGTACACTGGAACTGCAAAACACCCGTAGGTTTTGAAACCTATGAGAAATTGTATCTTTCTTCATTAGAGATTGAGTATAAGGCCCTAGCAAGAGATGGTGTCCATTATTCCATAATATAAAACTCTGGTATGTAAACAACTGTATTTTAATTAAGAGTTTTCACTTTTTCATGCTCAAAGAATAAAATTATTAATTGCCTATGAGAGTAAATTATTTTATTTCTGTATCTACTATCCAGAAAATGTAAATTTGTGATTTAAAAATGTTCTGTCTCAATATCTGTTGGATACAGATATTGAGTGCAAATGCAAAGTCTTTACAGTGGATGCTGTGGCTATCTATTGTGTTTATCTTCAGGAGCGTCTGTTTTTTTGATATTTTATCCCAGTGACCTGCTCTTATGAATACTTGTGGTTGTAATTATTTTTTTCTTTGGTGAGAGATGAGAATTGTATTGCAAAGTGTGAATGGTTATTGTTCAGAATTCTTTGAAGTACTTTGTGTTGTGAAAACAGGCTTCTTTGCTAATCTGATTTTTTTTTGTTGTTGTTTACTGTTTTCTTTGACGTGTAAACTTATCACATTTTTGCTCTATCAGGTCTTTGTTTGCTTGTGGAAAGGTTGCAAAGTATATAATACACCTTCAACAAGTCAAAGTTGGTTGCAGAGGCATATGCTGACACACAGTGGGGACAAACCTTTCAAGGTAAGGTTCATTATAAGATGTATCTTCCCTTATTTTAAGAGTGATTGTATTTGTTTTTCCTGATGTGATATATTAATTGAGAAGTGCCATCATAGGAGAATTTCTTAAACAGTATCCAGTGAGCTGATCCTCCGTCTTAGCTATAATGGTACCCAGAGGTCCTGTTCTGTTCTGAAAACAGGTGAAGATACCGTTATTGCTTCTCTATCCCTGTTTCTTTTAATCTGCAAATGGTGAGGGAGTGTAAAAGTAAGTAGTGCTGAAGCTCAGGTTTTTGTGCATTTTCCATTTGAGCTGCTTACACTGTAACTGAGATATTTTGCCTGATGCTTTACACTTCCATGTTAAACTTTGGATCATGCCTGATGGTGCAATTCCGTGCTTGAATAAGAGCAGGTTTTGTTAATAAAATTCAGCTGAAACACAGTCAGTGACTATTTATGGTTAATCTCTGTGAGAATAATAAGGAAGTCAGGAATGCAGGACCGTTGAGCTGACTTTTCCTGCATAGTATTTTCTAACTTTCTCTTTCTTTCTCCCCCTAATATGTACCTGCAATTCTAGGTATAGTAGTGTTTATCATTCCCATATCCACCAATCCGTTATTAATGAGTTGCTTCATCCTCTTATGGATACAGTTGGGGCAGTTCATAGCTGTCAGTCCTGGATCACTTGATGGTAAGTCCCACCCACACTACTTCAGACTGAAGTTCTCCTTCCATGTAGGATATGAAAATGAATTAGGGTTTTTTTAAGTTTAGGTAGCATTTTATGCCTTCCTCTCCCTCACCCCCCAACCCCACCAAGTTTTAGTCAGTGTTTCTGCACTTTCTTCTCCTTTCTTTCTTCTTGGGTAATATGTTCTGCCTTTTTTTTTTTTTTTTCCTATTTTAAGGCAGCTTTATTACTAGAAAATACTTTTCTATTACAGTGATGTCTTCCAGAAGTTACTACTTCTGCATAGCTTATAACAGTAGTTATGAGAGAAAGCAAAACTAAACTCAAAACCTGGAGAGTAAAACTAGTGCATTGCATGTGAATATCTTTTAATAAAAAGGTTAGACTTTTTTCCATACTGAACTCTGTAGTTAAGTCTGAAAACTTCTGACTGAGAGAGTGAATAACAACAGGAAACTTGCTCTTGAGGTTATGATACCCTTTGTTCAAAGGAATAAGGTTAGTATGCTCTTGAAAGCATAGCATAAGGATCATAGGTCCCTGAAAGTTTGCAGATATGATTGTTCCTGCAACTGATCTAATCTTAAATGCTAATCCCTGAATAAAATGAAGAAAACCCAACCAGTCATCAGAGGAAACTGGTACTTTAGGTCTTCTCATTTTGGAATTGGATATTTTCTATACCTTAAAGTGTAAGGCAAGCTTTGCTCTTGAAGGAAGGTCTTTCAGTAGAGTAATTTATGTACTTATTTGATCTAGATCAAAGAAACTCAATTTTAGAGACATTAGGTTTGAAAGAGGTGGGCATAGCTCAGAAATAGCAGTAGTACTTTAAGTCTGTCAGACTTACCTAGCAAAGTCAGTAAAAGTTGATATCCCAGTTTTTTGGCTAGGCTGGTTACAGATAAAGCCCTAAAATTTTGAAACAGTAAGTTCTGATAATAATCATCTTATGTTAAATATGTTTTATTTCACCAGCTGGTTTTCTGTACTTTCTGGTCATACTAAGGAGAAGAACAAAACACAGGCTAGGATTGCAGTAGTTACTCGTGGCTCAATGTGTATCACTTCAGCATTTCTTCCTACTGTTGTCTTTAGTCCCTCTGTTTGTTTTTTATCTCTGTATTTCTCAATCTGTTCCTGGGGGCTTTGAATGGAAGATAATTGTGGTCTGAGTAGAATTTTGTAACATCTTTTGTTCCCCTGTCATTTATGCTGAATATAGGCTTCAGGGCTCACATGAGGTAGCCAAGTATGGAAGTGTCTGTGGTAGCAACCTACTAATTAACTAACTCCCTTTCCTTGTTTTTTTGTTGTTTTTTTGTTTTTTTACAAGCTTTTGAAATCTACTGTCTGATACAAAACCACTTAGTGTTGGGTGTTAGTCTTGATCAGTCCAAGAGCAGCCATTACTAATTGTTTTACAGCAGTCATTCAAGAACAGAGCAAATGATTCTGTTTGGTGTATTTAGCTGCTCTTATAAATCTTAATTGTTCACCTTTTAGGAGAAGCAAGATTTTTTTCAAGTCAGAGTTGAATTTAAGGACCTCTTGTTCTTAATGATTACTGCAGACAAAATATCTCCCAAAACCTAAATTACAAATGAAATTTCTGTTGCCTCATGAGAATATACTTGATTTCTAGCATAAAAGGAGGTAATCTGTTGTTTTGGAGAACTTGCTGAAAATAGTTAGTCATTCAGTGTTTTATTTAAAAAATAAATAAATGAATGTCAGGATTTTTGAGGAAAGCTGGAAAAGGCAGTCATGGAAATAGTATAGCTGTATGCTGTTGTCAGAAGAACTGCTGTTCAGGATGTTTTTAAGAAAAGCAAAGAATGTTAGCTAGAAAAGTGACAATTAAAATCATGGGTAACTTACTTTTGTAAAGATGAAAGAACACTCTAATCATATAATGACCAGAGGGGAGTGATAAATGTATGGCAAGTTTCTAGATTCTTACATTTCTAGTCAAAATGAGACAAAACTATTTCTGTAAATTGAAAGGTGGATGGGGACTGTCTTGGGCATAAAGCTGTCCTTTGCATTAGAGCTGCTCTGTTGAAGGATATGTCCCTGTCCTGTCACCCTTTTGCTTGCAATAGACTCGTTTTATACAGTTGCCCATTTTGGGTTTATCTATTTTTGTGATATGCATGGTGTTGTCCTTTGATTAAAAGCTGTGTCTAGCTGTTTATGTGCCCTTTCCATGCATTCATGTAAACTATGTGACCATGTAATTTGTCACAGAAATGAATCCACTTCTAAATTACAAAGGCAAAATGTTTCGTTTCTAAGTATCTCCCGTTTTTTCTGTTTGTGTGGTTTAGTGTGTTCCTGTCAGCATTAATATTGCAATACCTGTCAGGTAAATTTCCTTGTTTTTGAGATCTTTGTTATGCAACTTTGTTTTTATATGGGCCAGTTTCATGGTAGTGTATGTTCAGCTCATAAGAAGGGCACATTTTATATCAGAGTCATCTGCTGAACTAAGGAGGAAAAAAAAAAAAGATACCCTAGATACTTGGACAGAATTTAGGACCTCAGTTCACCTTTAGTCATCATACTGCTTTTCTGTTTATTCCTTCCCTTTTTTTCTAAGTTTTTGATGCTGATGGCCTTGGGTTTCATGTGAAACACATGGATGGATTTTTTTACTTGTATTTTTAAGGCCATCGTCACTAAGTTTTGTTAGTGGTAGCGTGTATTTTCCTAGGGCACCCACCAATCCTTCCACCAAAGAAAAAGTGTCCATTAAATGAGAGATAGTTACCATTGCAGCTAGTTCTCAGGCTGTAGTCAAATACGATTTCTGCGTGCTTTTCCAGTTCTACTTTTGGTAAGCACTGTTTCCTAGATTGCTTTTCTTGTCAAGAGGAACAAACTGCTCTTCCAGAACGTGTTTCTGGTTGAGAACTTACTGGCTGCCTTTGGCTGACTGTGTTTTTCAGGTTATGCAGCTTGTCTTAATACCTGCAGTCTGTAGCTCTTGAGCTGCTGGAAGTTTTCTCTTTGCTTATTCCAGTCTGGTTCTAGCCATCCTTTCATCTTTTTTTTTGTCATCCTCGTAGACATTCTTTTAATATAGGTATTCTTAGAGCATGTAGTTTTCTGGAGGCATTTAGTATGTTCTTGTTTGTGTATGATTTTTCATTCAGAGTTGAAAGGGAAGAACCTAAACATTATTCTTTTTTAGTTCTGTTACTACATAATTTTTGCAGCTTTTTAGAAACTGGTGGAATGTTGTGGAGTATCGTCAATGTGTAGTGGTGGTCCTGTTGAGGGGTCAGCAGCTTAAAAACTTGCAGGCTTTCAGAACATGTAGATCTAGAGCAATAATCTGCTGAGTTAGAAAACTGATGCTGGTAACATATTTGGCAAGCTGATAAAAAGTGAATGAAGAAATTCTACCTTACTTGTCTTAAACTTGGCTGTTACAAATAGTAAGTGTTTTGAATAGTTAGTGTGCTGTGACAACCTGCATTTCCCAGCATGGTTTCTGGTACTCAAAAAAAAAAAAAAAAAAAAAAAAAAGGAAGTACTATTCACCATGCCTTGTTGCTGTACAAGGCATTGAAAGTTCCTTGAAGACACATCAAATGACTCTTAAAATGTAGTCTAGGTCACCAAATACAAGATGTTAGGCACAATGAAAGGACAAATGGTAGAGTAAGCACAAAACAATAGGAGATTTTATGCAAAATAATTGCATATAGCAATCTTCTGTAAATGTAAGACTGCATGTGCGTATGCTACTGACTGCCTTCATGTGCTGATTCCAGTGGGTATGCCCTTAATGTTTAAGATGAGACATTCAAGGTGTGCTCATGTGGAGTAAATGCTTTCAGTAACAACAAATGACAGTACACAGGTGGCTTTCATCCTTTCTTTAAAAGGCAGGAAGAAAGTAATAATAAAGATGAAATTTGGTATTCAGTCTACCACCTGTAACTTTCAGAATTCATTAAGGGGTGACTACATTTGGTATGACCCTCAATAGAGTAAAGCTTGTTGAAATGTAGAAAACACAGCCAAGCAGCTTCAGCCCTCATTCAGAATTCATGTCTGTTACTCTCTTGGCAGAATATCTCGATCCATTAGAGCGTTGCAGGTGCAGATAGAAAATGTAAAGGCCTTCTGCCTGAACACTTAAATGTCAAGACAATAACAAGGTTTATCCAGATGTCTAAAATATTACCGTTAGATTTATTGGAAAAATTACACATTGAGTATTCTAAAAAGGAAATTTGGTTATTTTGACTTTAGGAAAAACCCTGTATTGCTAGGTATTTTTGTATCCTGTTTGTTAAAGTCACTGGTCATTACTGCCCATTAATAATGGTGGGTATGGGTACACTGGAGAAATTAAACTTCTTACGTGTTCACTTATTTTCTCTTGAAGTAACATATCCACCAATCCGGACCCAATCTATCATATTTAAAATTGAATGCAAAATTTTGACATTTAGGTTTTGGGGGAAAAATGAAGAGATTGGTTTAAAGTTGTACATAGTAGTTGAGTTTGATTTATTAGAAGCCCTCTAGATCTGTATAATTATCTGGTGGGAAGCTGATTTGGTGTGACTTACCGTCCAGAGATCCTGAAGTGACAGCCTGAACTGCTCCTTTATCTTTGGAGAGAAGAGACTTTATCCATTAGTAACGGATTGCTGGATATATTATTTTAGAGAAAAAAAAAGAAAAAAACAGGTAAGATTTTTCTCCTCTTCTACTATTTCCTGTCTATTACAAAGGCATTCTGTGTCATCTTTGATATATCAGCTGTTGGTTATTTGATGACATGATCAGGTAGTCTCAAACTACACAATATTGGAATGTAATGATTTGTGCAAATATTTCATGTTGTGGCTGCAGAGTATAAATAGACTTTCTGGAAAAAGATAATTTCTAGTTGCAAGTTGCATATATTGAAGATTTAAGGATGCTGATTTGCGGCTTTTGAAAGTAAAGCTTGGGTAGGGCGAGAAAAGTAGGTGGTAGCTTCTGTAGATAATCTCTATAGAATATCTGTGATTGTTTTGTTTTTACACGACTGGTCAAAAGTCAAGTTATGACATTGAGTCAAACTGCAGTTTGTTTCCCATCTGACAAGAAATACAATTAAGTCTTGTGAACTTGTGTTTTAAAAAGTTTTAGAAGTGTGCCTGACACAAAGTTTGTGTGTTATTTTCAGAGGGTACTGCCTTTTGATATTATACTTTATTAAACTTGAAATGTGGCAATGCATGCACTGTACCAAGACTTTAGGTTATTTTTGACCTCTATAAGGCATTGGCAAGACTGAAATTTTAATTTCTCAGTGTGATTGAAATTCACAGGATGGGGGGTTTTTGTGCTTTTTTTTTTTTTTTTCTGTCAGTGTTTGTAGAAAGAGCTAGAAGCTGAAATCAGGAGCACCTTAATGAAAGTCAAACCTAAGTTTGGATTTAGTTGCTTAATTTAGTTCCATGAAACTGCTTTTATGGACAAGACAGCTATTTCAAACGTATAAACTGGAGACTAAGAAATTGCTTGAACTAAATGCACACAGGTATTTTTCCTGTATCTGTTGATTGTGAGCGTGGTCATCTTTAATACAGCTAAGTGGATCAGGTTCAAGGTTGGGTTGGATGGGGCTTTGAGCAACCTAATGTAGTAGAAGATGTCCCTAGCCGTGGTAGGGGGGTTGGAGCTGGATGGTTTTTAAAGGTCCCTTCCAACCCATTCTCTGATTCTCGAAGTGTAAATTTTAATCTTTATTCGAAGTGCATTGAGGTTACCGTAGTATAAATGAGATCAGGATCTTCAGGGTTTTTAATTTCATAGATGTGCTGGGATTTCTTACGTTGTAAGTCACTACAGTATAAGCATAGAATATTGCTGCTGTCTGAACATGGGAAATTATAGGGCAAGGTAAAAAGGTGTAGGGAGGGTTTTGGTAAAAATCTTCATAATTCTTGAAATGCTTAGTGGGAGAGACAGGGAGGAACAAATACAGTGTGAAGGTTTCTAAAGCTTTCTGTTAGAGAATTATGTTTGTCGTTAGCTCAGTATTTAGAAAACTTTCCCTAATTTCCTCTCAGTAACTTTTCCCCTTTAAAAAAAAAAGTGGGCGAGGGGTGTGTAAAAATGTGAAAAATGTCCTCCTATTTTTTTATATTTTGCTGTCTTGAAAAATATATACGTATTTTTAGTCCTATAAGTCCTTGGGGATAACACTGTTTTTTCTCTTCAAGGACACTGGTCATTTTATGATGATCATGGAAAACCATTTGCTAGTCTGAGGCAGGAGTAGACTTTTCAATTCTGCAGTTGGAAAACTTAGGGACAAAATGTGCTGAGTGGTGGACCACTGCTGTTTCCTTGCCTTTCAGTCCAAGGTGCAGGCTCGGGGCAGATTACTGTAAGAGCTTGCAAATTCATCCTTAGTCTTCAGAGAAAACTTAGCACGATGTACACAGTTGCAGTGTTACTTATTCCTGAACTCCTCTTGGGAGCTGCCTCATCGGTTTGCTGTGAAGGGAAGTGCTAGAGAAGAGAGGCACAGGTGAAAGAGCTGAGAAGGAAGGGGAGGAGGGGGAGGAGCAGGCGCAGAACAGATGTGAAAGAACAACTTTCCAATGGTTTAGAGTGGTGATGGGTTTTTTGGTACTGGCTGATCAACTCATTTGCCCTACTGCTATTCTCTGGATCAGAAGAAAAATCAGTCATGTGGATACACAATTCATTGCAGCCAGTGATGGAATTCATACCTTAAAATCACTTCTCTATTACCCTTATAAGCTCAGAGCACAAGATAAAAGGTTTGTGCCTCCCTCCCCAACAGTATAATTTAAATGCTGATTTTTGCAAATGAAATAATTGTGACTATAAACCAAATACTTAGAAAAATAGCAATAATTACAGCAGCCAGTACTAGCTTAGTTGCATGTATCTTGTGATTTCTGTGTTTCTACTTAATAATTGTTGGATTTTTTTAATTTTTCTGTTTGAGAAAGAGAGGCCATCTTTTTTTAAATAAGAACTTTCTTAAATGCTTCTGAAGTAATAGTAGCATCCCAAAATAAATGTATGAATAATTGTAATACAGCTTTCAAGTTACTGAAGTTAAAGTTTTAGAACTGTAAGATAACTGTTTATTGACTTTGTATAGCATTTACAAAAAGCGTGAAGCTGCTTCAGTGTGGGTAAGGATGTGGGTTTTACTTCTGCCTCACACAAGAAGGGGGGACATTAGAGGGCATTACTGTTATCAAATGCAGAAGATTGGAGAGCTGTTGAGAAATACAGAATAACAGTGCAGTATTTTGAAAGACAAGGGGATGTTGGTCTGTGAAGGGGAAAGTTCTTCAGAAGCATTTATTTTCTGTGGGAAGATTTGGTCAGTGCATTGTTTGAGACTGGTTTTATGCTACAGAATACTATAGAATGTAGTATAGCATAGGAAAATTATTGTACCATGGAATAATTATTGGAAGTTGTAAAGTTCAGATAGAAATTTATTGCAGATTATGTTTCTGTTTTCCTTGTCAAGAATTGCATGGTCATTAAGAATTTGTGTTCCTTTTAGCATGTTGGAGGTTGAGCCAGAAAAGTCAAACTGAGAGATCTATCAGACTCCTGTGAATGAATGTCATATAGCACGCTGATACAGTTCTGGTTTTTTTCTCATTAGTGTGTAGTTGGTGGTTGCAATGCCAGCTTTGCATCTCAGGGAGGACTTGCCCGTCATGTGCCCACACACTTCAGCCAGCAGAACTCTTCAAAAGTTGCCAGCCAGCCAAAGGCCAAAGAGGAATCTCCATCTAAAGCTGGAATGAATAAAAGAAGAAAGTTAAAGAACAAGAGACGACGATCATTACGTAAGTACTTCCAGAAGCAGAAGTTCTTGAAAGTTTTGTCTTGGATAGGAAGTCCCTCTTCAATGTGGTGGTTTCTCTGCAGATGTGGGTCTGTTAGGGTTGGTGATATTTAACATTACAGCATTGGCATCCCTTGTGATGGGAGGAAAACAATTCCAGGTTCTGTTTGTGTTCCTTTTTTGGGCAAAGCATCTATGTGTTCAGTAGAAAAGATCGGTTTTCTGTGAGCAACAGTTTACGTTTCCAATTTAAAGATGCTTTTCATTTTAGAATTGCTTTTTTTTAATAACTATATTACTATTGGAAAATGTTCTGTTCAGGTCTGAAGTTCGGTACTGCAGACAGAGATTGCAGATTCATATAAATTAGAGATAAATGCATATTATATAAGCTTTTTTTCAAGCACATCATTTCATTAGTTTGACAGTTTTATGAGCATAACCAAGATCTAATTTTGGGCAGATTTGATTTGCGACAGTTTTTTAAGTCTTTCTCAGCACGGTTGATGTTTGTTAATTTTATATGAATGAAGTGTGATTTAGCATTGAAAGTAAGAATTGTTTCTTCTAGCAAGTGATAATCACTTACCCAATACCTTTTCTAGTCCATTTTGGTCCAGTTGTTTGATTCCTGAGTTGTCCTAGCATCAGACTAATAACCATGTCAAATTCATTTAGAGAGTCTAATGTACAGAAATAGTTGGAAAGACTAGGTGATTGTTAGAAAAATGTGACTTTGTTTTATAATTACTTTGGATGCAACTCTCCAGTTCTGAACTGATTATTTACTAATTTTAAACTGTTACTGTGACAGTTGCATTTCGGAGTAGAGATGTAAAAACCCATTTAGTGGGTGTGGGGTTTTTTGGTTGGGTTTTTTTTGTTTTGCTGCTGGTATGTCAACAGCTGAAGAAAAAACTTGCAGCAAGTTTTACCTGTGGTGTAAAGTCAACCTTGACAGTATTGGAGAGAGGCATAAGATACCTTTTTTTTATGAACCACTGGACCTGTTATATCTTATACTGTCCACAGAAATGGAGCTCTGTTCATAAGCAGGCAATTGCTTCAGTCCTGCCTCCTGCCTGACGGTAGCGTTGTGGCCATGGCATGCTTGTGTTACTTCGCTGGGTCAGCAATTAGTCTTATTTTTTCAGAACTCGTCTGTGGCAGAACACTTTTCTGTGTTGATCTTTCTGTTCTTGTGAAGAAATACGGTTACCGATTATTTGAGTAGTACTCCAACAAAGGACCACTGCACATACCTAGTGGTCTTAGGTGATTACTCTGTATCACTGAAGTGATTATTCTTAGCTTAATACCTCAGCTGTGTTTTAAGCAACTGAACTTTATGAAGCAGTGATCACGTTTCTGCATTGAGCAAAGAAGCCTGTCCGGGAAGGTTACAGTATCAAGTAGAATTCTGAAAAGTTTATTTCCTCTGTTTTCCTTCCACACTGTGCAACAACTATGAAGTTCAGTGCTAGAAGAGCCACTGTTAACTTTAATTATGGTGATTTTTTTTCTTTTGCCCTTTTTTGCTTAGGCATTTTTAAAAGATATGTGAGCAAATTTTATTACTAAATACATCGTAAAAGTGTAAACTTCAAGAATTCCTCTAATTTTGATGCCAATTTAACATTCAAAGAGGGTAGAAAGCTATTTCTGTTCTTTCCAGAACTTGACTTTCAAAAAGCTTTCCCTTTCATTTTAGTAATCAGTAAATTGGAAGGTTCAGGAAGGAAAGGCTGATGGATGAAGGGTTATGTGGTCACTTTACAATATCCTTTTAGTTCATCTTAGATGTAATGAAAAAGAGACTTACTTGGAATAGTTGCAGGTTCCTAAAGGATTATCTTGATTTCTTGACTGTCTTACTCAAACAAAATACAGATGTCTAAGGCCGGTCACTTCCACATTTTCACTTTCAGAGATTCCTGAGTTGCATCTTAGCTTGCTTCTCCATTATTGATTTTGTTAGGTGGCTGATTTAATGCATCTTAATTCAATTTCTCCCCCCCAGTATACGCAGAAGTAGCTTTTCAGGTTGGTGTTTTGTTAGTAATTGATGAGCATTATTGACTTAAAAGTTTCAAATCAGAGCTTCATAGTTAAAACTTCAAATTACCTGCTAAGATGTTCTAGTAGTAATAAGAATTTACTGCAGAATTCTTGAATGAATTGATGTTGAAAAATGTAAGTAGTAAATATTATGGGAATGTTGAAGACCAGACTGTAGTACTTGAATGGTCTGCTGTCTTGATCAAGTGTTATGCAGGAAGAAAAATGACAGCAGCTTGAGCAATTTTTTATCCTCTTACCTCTTGAGACAAATGCGATGCTGGCTGTAGAATTTTGCCTTAAGGCAAAAATCATCTCTAACTGAGTTGGGAACTGACTATTGTAATGTATTTCTCCAGAGGATATGTGACCCAGAAATGTATCCAAAGTTGATGGCATTTTCTGAAAATGCTAAAATTGGTAGCTTTTCGTAAAAATTTGTGTGGATTATTGTTGATTAGGTGAATTTGACTAAAGTGCTGATACAATTTTGCTTGTCTTTCTGTTTCTTAGCTTAGTTTTAGTTAATGCATGAGGTGTGCAAGTTTGTGTATTTTTTCTTTACAAGAAGAATGGGGGAGGGCAAGGACCCTTATCTAAGGAGACGAAGTAACAATAATGGTGTTAAGTATTTTCAGTCTCGAGTATATGAAACTAGGAACATAAATTTATATTTAGGTATTTTAAAAGTGTCCAAAAGGAGAGGTGTTGAACATATGTACCAGGTTCTCGGCAAACTGGGTTACAAGAAGTTATGATAAATGGGTGTAAAGCAAGATGCTATTTGATAGTGCATAATCTGTTTAAATTGCTCACAAATAATCGTTTGACGAAAAATTACAGTTTTGAATCACAAAACAGTTTTTCTCCTCATAAAATGTTGTCAACATGTTTTCTACCTCCTCATAGTTTGATTAGACCCTGGCTTTTTTGCAAAGTGTAAGCGGCTTAATGTTTATTGGCAATTGATTGCTAATACATGCTGCTGTTGAAGCATCCTCATGTGTAAATTCTCGATAGTTTAAATGTAGCAAATCAATAAATTTGCTTCCTCTGTGTTTTATACCTGAAGGTTAACACCCTTCTGAGAGACATTAAAGTGTAAATAAAAAAAGGAGTCTTTACTGTGGCTTTATATATGTGACAAGAACATAATCTTTTAACTTGGACTATAAAGAGAACTCTTATCATTACTTGATCTCTTTTTTTCTTTCTCCCATAACATCTTAACATTCTTAAACTGTTTGGCATTTCTTTTTTCCTGTCTTTAAACAGTATATGTTCTTTCAAGTTTGGAAATTAGTACTTTTATGATGAAAGCATGTTTCACTATAAACACCCTTATAGCTGGTTACATTAGTGGTCCTATAGAGACTATCTGATTTGTCATATAAATTTTGACGTTGCAGAATACTTCAGGATTACAGTCAGTAGCTTGCTTTCTCTTCTGGATAGCCTTATACACATTCACTGCTCCATGTAGTCTGTCATTTAGAGGTGTAGAGCCAAGCATATTGAAAGTGTGTCTCTAAAATAGGTCATAGTATTGCTATTCTGAAGCTACCTGGAAGTGTTTTGCAGAACCTAAGATTATATTTAGAGTATTGTCACTTACTTTTCCAATAGCAAAGATGACACTATAGTTATTAACAAGCATGATAATTGAGTTTGCTGGAGAAATGTAAGCAAGGTAGGGAAACTTACTGTTCGTGGGATTTGCAGTAAGAGTGTGTTACTTACATAAGACTTGCAAATTAATTTAGTAGGCTACTGGTATGAAGGTTTTAATTTATCTGACTTAATTGCTATGTACTTGGAACATATGAAGCAGGAAGGGAGATATCTTACTCTGAAAATAATTTTGAGGGAATAGTTTTAAGATAAATAGAAGATATAGCATTAACACTCAGTAAGAAACAGAGCTATTCATACGCCTTTGACAAAGTGTGCCCTTACTTCTGCATCTGTTGAAGTGGGAAATCCTGAAGAAATTTGCTGTATGAAACAAATTGGGGGGTATTGTTTCCTTTCCACCCTCCCTTCCTTTTTCCTTTGTATTTGTTTATAAAATATTGATATGCTTGTGTCACTGACCACCTGCAGCATGAGTTGCAGTTCTAAGTTAACCGCTTATGGCGAGAAAACTTCAGTGAGACGATTGACTGATTGGCGGTATCCAGCTGAGATAGGGTAAGGATAGAACACGATGTACAGATGAATACTTAACAACGGTTAGTCCCAGAAGTGTAGCAAATACTAGCTTTAAGTGGAATTTCTAGTTTGTTTTGAAATGATGCATAGATAATCTTGGTGAAAAGGAATGTAGAAGTTCTTTTAAATAAAGACAACAGAACTTTGAATCACTGTCTTGATAGATTACAGGATGATACATAGTTGATAATGTAATATCTTAGTTTTAATTTCAGTGTATTCTGTAGATAATTACTGCTCTTAAGTAAGGCTTAAAAAAATCTGAATACTTTCGTTTATGCTTTATTTGCTCATGTAATTTTACTACTGTACTGTATGGTATATTTTTAAAAACTTGTGTGAAGTATTTCTAACAGTATCCAAATACGTGCATAGTAGCAGTTACTTTTTTAGGTAATGTTTTTAGTGTAGCATTGATAGACCTTGTTTGCACTCCAAATCAGAATTCAGTAATTTTTTACTGTTCAAGAAACTCTTAACTATAAAAATCCTGTTCTAAAAGGAAAAGGGCTTTATTAGTGCCTGCTGGGTTTAGACTACTTGTAAAATATCAGATGGGTGTTAATTGCACTTTACTCATTATAAATTGTAGTAGGTGCTGCTTCTTGGCTAGAAAATAATCTGTTTACCAAAAATCAAAGAACATGGAATGACAACTTGTACATAGAGAAAAACATGTCTAGTAGTGTAGAGTTTTTCACACAACTATTCAGCATTATTACTCCTTGGAGATTACAAATTTCTTGATAAGCTAATATTTTCTGTATGTTCACAATAATTCTTACTTAATCCTTTGCTTTGGTTCTACTTTAGTACCAAGCAGTTTGGTTTTCAGTGCCATTGTTGATCTCTTTGCAGCATCCCACTGTTCACAGGAAATAGCTAGGGGGTTTAGTGATTAGAAATTAGATCAGAGCATATTGTTTTTAACAAAGTTAAGAAATAAAGTTTTGGTATAATTCTGCTTTTATGACATTGATTGTATGCGCTACCATGTTTTGCAGTACTTATTTTTTTTTTAACAAGTCACAGCAGTAATGTTGGAACTATTGACTGTGCTTTAAGGGTGACTTGGCCAGTTAGGTTCCCATAAACATCGCAACATAAGTGGGCTGGTTTTTCATTAAATTAGAACTCACGTTGATTAATGAGTTCTGGGTTTAGTTTCTTTGTACTGGGAATTTTTTTATTTTCTTAAGACATGATAGCAATGGATGTTCCCAGAGGTACTCAGTAAAATTAATGAAGTCTTAATTTTGAAGATAAGAAAGACTAGAATTTGCTTGAAACTTAAACTAATCTATTTTGACCAGCTGAATTACACGCACTGTTTCATCTACAAGGAGTATGTTTTGACCAAACTTCAATGAATTATGCCCCTCTTGGAGTAATTTCTTCCTCTCAGTTAAATTAATGTTTACCACTCTTTGACAAGGTAGTGCCATAATGATAAATGATTTACTAATGACACTTCAGACTTATTTACATGCTTGAATGTGTTTGAATGCTTTCAATGTGTTGAACGCTAAGGATCTCTCTTCCTTTTTCTCTAGCAAGACCTCATGACTTCTTTGATGCTCAAACACTGGATGCTATAAGACATCGAGCCATCTGCTTTAACCTCTCAGCACATATAGAAAGTTTAGGAAAAGGCCACAGTGTTGTATTTCATAGTACTGTAAGTATATATATATATATGTGTGTGTGTGTGTGAGTGTTCTGTTTGTTTACCTATGGTCTGAAAAATCTAATACTTCAGAAAGATTTCTGTTTTCCTCTTATGCTGTAGGCATCTAATCAGAAATAGCGGCTATTTTCCAGTGTTGATTTGTCCATTTCTAATAGTAAATCAACTTTAAAAAAGTAGTTTTAGTAGTTGTTCTAGCTCACAAATTAATAGCTTGCAACATTTCCTTTTTGATACACTTGGGGAAATACCTTAACAGTGAGTATGTGTTGCAGAAAAATTTGGTTGTATCTTCTGAATAAGAATGCAATTCAGATGGCATTTCCATAGTCATGAGTGACAGTGCTAATTTATCACAAGGAGTACTTTGAGGGTAATTGTGTAACTGAATTTTTAAAGATGCTGATATGAAATTTGTATTTATTCCTTTTTTTTTTCCCTATCTTAAAACATATAATCCTGAATAAATTTATTGTTGTCCTCCTTTTTTTCACTTGTTCTTTTAATGAACTTACCACTGAAATGTCAGTGAAGTGCTAGGAAGAGGCAAGTACCAGATGGGGAACTGGCATTTAGTTGTGTTGCCATATCCTATTTCGTTAATTTCACTTGCGTTTGGATAGGCTAGGCATCAGTAGTAGTTTAGAACAGTTCAAAACATGAAAAAAAAGTACAGAATTGGAGTATAAGGATCAGAAGTTCAAAAAGCTATATAACCAAATTTGGAGATGTGGGCACATAAAAGGTAGAGACTCAGCTGAAGAAAAGAATTAAGAGATGGGACAAAATGAGATGGGGCTACTTTGTGAATTGACAGACTAGTGCAGGATGAACTGCAGTCCAAGGAAGGAATGCTGACGACTGTGTCTTCAGCTATGGCTTAACCGTAACACATGATTCAGACTATTGAACTGTCAATCTCTTTCCATAAATAAAAGATAATTTTATATGCATGAAACTTATTTTGTCCTATTCAGCAAGACTAATGTTTGTTATAAATAGCTATACCATGAGCCAGTGATGTGCCCTTGTGGCCAAGAAGGCCAATGGCATCCTGGGGTGTATTAGAAGGGGTGTGGTCAGTAGGTCGAGAGAGGTTCTCCTCCCCCTCTACTCTGCCCCGATGAGACTGCATCTGGAATAGCGTGTCCAGTTCTGGGCCCCTCAGTTCAAGAAGGACAGGGAACTGCTTGAAAGAGTCCAGCACAGAGGCACAAAGGTGATTAAGGGGGTGGAACATCTCCCTTACGATGAAAGGCTGAGGGAGCTGGGTCTCTTTAGCTTGGAGAAGAGGAGACTGAGGGGTGACCTCATTAATGTTTATAAATACGTAAAGGGTGAGTGTCAGGAGGATGGAGCCAGGCTCTTCTCAGTGATGGCCAATGATAGGACAAGGGGCAACGGGTGCAAGCTGGAGCGCAGGAGGTCCCACATAAACATAAGGAAAAACTTTTTCCCTGTGAGGGTGACAGAGCACTGGAACAGGCTGCCCAGATAGGTTGTGGAGTCACCTTCTCTGGAGACATTCAAAACCTGCCTGGATGTGTTCCTGTGTGATCTACTCTAGGTGGTGCTGCTCTGGCAGGGGAGGTTGGACTAGATGATCTTTTGAGGTCCCTTCCAACCCCTGACATTCTGTGATTCTGTGATCTGTGTCCTATGTTACAAATTTTTCCCAAATGATTACTCCTGAACATTGTGCATTGAGCACCAGCTGCAAGTGGAGAGTTGCAGGTGTCATAGCTATTACTGTATTTAAATCTCATTCTAATTTTCCTGGCCAGCATGATTTTACAATGCTGTGAGAAAAGCAGATTCTCTTGCAATTCACAGCTTGCTTTAATCTGAAAGATTATCCAGACGGAGTACTCAGTTGTGGAAGCTCACCTCTGGCTGTTGGAATAATTCATAAGGAGATGGAATTAGAGGGAGGAATGTGCCCTAAAACTGCTTCAAATTAACTTGGAGGAAGTGGTGAAAATCCTTTTAGCTTATCTGTGCATGTGTCAGTCGAGATGGTAGGGGGTTGATTAGATCTGAAATTGCTTAGACTTCAGTTGTGGGAGAGGTTGTACCAGTGGGAGAGCTGTTCTAAGATTCCAGCCCTACGCTGCACTTTGCTGCCCTGGTTTACTGTGCTGCTACAGTTCTGTGGGCTTCTGCTGTACATAGCTATATTGAATAGACAGCCCAAAAGCTGCTTTAAAAAGAAAAGGTAGAATGGAAGCAGTCTTGTGAATGTACACTGTATACTGAGCTAATGGTCACCTCAAACGCAAACACATTTTGCGTAATTTACAAGCATGAAGACATTGAATTTGAGTGGTGCCTGGTTAAATAGTGTAATACGGTTTGTGTGGTCAGCCTTCAGATGAAGAAAACATGTAGATATCAGGGGCATTAATTTGAAAGATGAAAAATATGAAGATAAAATTGTCTTGCTCTCCGAAAACTGACATGATTCTGTGATAAGTGATGCAGATTTTTTTTTTTTATGCAGCATAATAATAATGTCAGCACAGTGCAGTATTTTACAGGATGGATATCCTAGTGAAAAAATTACTAATGTGAAGAATTTGTAAGCAGTTGCAGTAGGTACTTTTCCTCTCCTATGAAAAGGCACTCCTTTTGTTTTTATATATGTGGGGTTTTTTAAATCCATCCCTTTCCTTATAGAAGTGGATAGCTGTAGAATGCAGTCATCAATAAAGAGTTTTTGAAGGCTTTTGCCATGCAGAGTCCACCTTTGACTTTGTTATGAGTGTGGTTTTTTCCTGCTTAGTTGTTTTTATTGCGGTCACATTCCTGGTACTTTGATTCTCTGAATTGTTAGATGAAAAAAGTCAAGGATTTCCATTTACCCTAAAGAGCAGATATTACAGTGATTAAAAAATGCACCTTACTGGATTAGATTACCTTGTCCTCCTTCTGCCCCCGCCCCAGCTTTTTGAAATTACTAGAATTAATTCTCTAAAATACTTGATTACTAAACTGTTCTTCACTGGTTTTAACTTTCTTAGATATTTCAGTTTGGCGATCATATATATTGGTACTAGTTAGATGTGTTTTGAAATCTTAAAACTTCAAAACACAGAAAGTGGATAAAGTAAGATGCATACCGGTTTGTTCCAGAAGAGGTCAGCAGACTTCCATTTCTGATTTGAGGCGACTTTGATTTGCATTTCCTTCACAGAGATAAATTCAAATGAGATTTCCCTTTTGTTTCTGGTACAGTGCATGAAATTTAGAGAATATAGTAAGAGTTTTTTCAAATAAAGCTGTATTGAGCGTACATCTACTGACTGAATTATATTTTTAAATTAAAAACATAGACTTAAGTTCTTTTCAAAATAATTTTTAAGTCTTTAGAGCATCATTATTTCAGACATGCTAGATTTCTTCCATTTCAGTTGTAACTTCTGCAGACTTAACTGTAAAGCTCTGATTACTAGTGTCAAAATAGCAAATAATTTTTTCAATTACTTTTTTTGCAAAATTTTTGCCATGTTGCATTTGTCTGCATTGTAGCTGTGTTTCTGACTTTAGCCTGCCTAGGATATGGTAAAATTTTCATTGAACTAATTGTGATAAAAGTGGATACTTTTAATACCTTTTATAAAAACGTTAAGTTTTTAAATTTCAAAATATATGTGGGAAAAAGCAATGGCAGCTACAGGTGCCAGATTTCTGCTGCCTCTTAGCAGAAAACTAACGTACTACTTGAATATTAAACAAAAATAGACTCGTTCCATATATGGAGAGGGGATCTTTCGTCCCAGTCAAAACCAAGTGAATTGCCCAGATTTTGAGTATTGATTATTTAGTAGACACAAAAAAGGCAATGACATGAGGAAAAAGCTGCAGAATTCACACTGAATACAAGCATATCTCTCTGTGCAAAAGCATCCTAGCTATAACTTTCATAGCCATTATATACTATTAGCTCTTTTGTTATGATACTTTTTTAGCAGTAGAAAATAATAATAAAAGTTACTTTTTTCTGCTATTAAACGTGTGTGTGTCTGTGTGCGGTGTGTGTCTGTGTGCGGGTAAGCTGGTTCAAGCCCTGGTTGCTTGATGTTACTGGGGCTCTAGAATAAGAGAATGGTACTTCCAGTGGTATAATTCAAGCAGTACTTGAATTGCCCTAAATTTGACACACCACTATTGATTTTTTTGAGTTTTTACAAGTATCTGTCTTTGGTATGGTGATAGTAAGACATCAGGGTCCTAAATTTTGTACAGCATATTCCTGAAAACAAGAAATTGTTAATGTCAGAGTTGGTACTTTTTTTTTTTCCTGCTGGCGGATGCAAGTGGTGATACTGGGTGGTTCTCGCAGAGATCTGTGAGGTTCTGGAGTCACCTTGTATTATACTGTATATCCCTGTAGAAGCGGTGCTATTGGTCATGTGATAGAGGACAGCAACCCCAGCTTTAACTAGTGCTCAGATGTAATATACATCTGTGACTTGTGTGTTTGTATGGTTTCCTAGTTCATATTCTTCAAGTTGTAGATAGGATGAAGAGCAGTTTGTGGAGAATAACTTCTTCCTTCTATCTTACGTGTAGCTAGTTTACTGTGTCCAAATACTAACATTTTAAAATGTCACCTGTAAACTTTTCGGTATATGATATCCATGATACTTACATTACATGAAAGAACAAAATGCCTCTTAAAACATGAAGGTTAATTTGAGAATGAACTGGACTGTACAAGAAAATGAATGGGAAAGCTGATAAGTGAGTTTTATTTGTCCTGTAAAAGTGAGCTTTGACTTATCTTTATTTGGCTTCAGACTCAGGTGCTCCAGTCTACAACAAAGAGACTGAGTTTGCAGAAGCAGCAGCTGCTTTCTGGGCAAAGGCTAAAACTTAAAGTTGGAAGGGATTGGAGGAGTGCTTTCTAAATCTTTTTTTAAAAAGAAGTAATTTTTTTTATCCCTGCTCCAAATTTAGCAAAATGTATCCTGTTGTGGGTGTGGCTTGAGACTTACAAGGAAAAGTCTTAGCAACGTTTAGCATGCCTAAATTGGAGAACCTTATAGTATTCTTTGATACAAGAGTCAATTAAACTTTGTCTAATTAGCAACAATTACTAAAAAAAAAAAGGATTTTTACTGTCATTTATCTACAGTATCCCACTATAACATCCAATTGCAGTTCTAGCAGGGAGCATTCCTTCAGTTTATCTTGAATTGCCTGATACCAAAAGCAGATTTTTCTCACTCTGCCTTCCAGTCTCATTCTCAGATGAATTGTGGATATATGTTAAATGAGAAATCCCAAAAATGGGGCTTACGAATGGAACCTCCTTCTTTTGGGAGAACTGTACATTACTGTACTTCGTTTATTGCTTCTCTAACCTTAGGCCGTTGGATGAGCTTTTCCATATAGTGTGACAAGTTGATTTAAAACCTTTTAGTGTAAGACTTCAAGATTTTTTAGAAACTTAGTGTCTCAAACACTGTGGTGGGCTGACCCCAGCTGGGTGCCAGATGCCCACGAAAGCTGCTCTATCACTCCTCTCCTCAGCTGGACAGGGGAGAGAAACTGTAACGAAAGGCTCGTGGGTCGAGAGAAGGACAGGGAGAGATCACCCGCCCATCACCGTTATGGGCAAAACAGACTTGACGTGGGGAAATTAATTTAATTTATTACAAATCAAATCAGAGTAGGGTAGTGAAAAATAAACCCAAATCTTAAGACACCTTCCCCCCTCCCTTCCCTTCTTCCCGGGCTCAACTTCACTCCCAATTTCTCTGCCTCCTCCCCCTTGTGCAGCACAGGGAGACGGGGAATGGGGGTTGTGGTCAGTTCATCACACATTGTCTCGGCTGCTCCTTCCTCCTCACACTCTTCCCCTGTGCCAGCATGAGTTCCCTCTCACGGGAGACAGTCCTCCATGAACTGCTCCAGCGTGGGTCCCTTCCACGGTGTGCAGTCCTTCAGGAACAGACTGCTCCAGCATGGACAGTCACAAATCCTGCCAGCAAACCTGCTCCAGTGTGGGCTTATCTCTCCTTGAGTCCTGCCAGGAGCCGGCTCCGCTGCAGGCTTTCTATGGGGTCACAGCCTCCTTCAAGCGCATCCACCTGCTCATCTGTGGGCTGCAGGTGGATATCTGCCCTACCGTGGGTCTCCATGGGCTGCAGGGGAACAGCCTGCCTGACCATGTTCTTCACCATGGGCTGCAGGCCCTGCTTTGGTGAGAGCACCTCCTCCCCCTCCTTCTTCACTGACCTTGGCATCTGCAGAGTTGTTGCTCTCGCATATTCTCACTCTTCAGGTGCAAAATGCACAGGGGTGTTTTTCCCCTCCTTCTTGAATATGTTATTCCAGGGGCACTACCACCGTTGCTGATGGGCTTGGCTTTGGCCAGTGGTGGGTCCGTCCGTCTTGGAGCTGTCTGGCATTGCCTCTGTCAGACACAGGGGAAGCTTCTAGCAGCTCCCCCACTACCAAAACTTTGCCACGCAAACCGAGTATTTAAGTTCTCATTTACAAGCATCTTGATACCTTTGGATATCTCAAATATATCTCTGTTGATAATCTAGCTGATAAATCCATGGACACTTTGCATAATTTTTGTTTAGAGGATTGCTGTATAGTTGTAAAAATAAAACTTTAAATAAATTTGTGAATTCATTGAAATGTCATGACTAAGTTTCATTTACCATGATATTCAGTTGTGGAAGTACTGTGATGTGTAGTAAAGGAGAAGCTGAGGGCAAATCAGTAGAAGAGGAAGCAAACAGCTTTTCCCCGTTTTTCTGGATACTGTAAATTTTTGGGATACCTTTTGAATGCCAGTGTTAGAAAATATATTTGTACCTGAATTAACAAATTTATTTTTTATACTTTGTGTGTGTATTTCTAACTTTATCTTCGCTAAAGGTGGGAGTCTAACTTCAGGGTCCTGCACCTGAAAACTTTTATTCTCTGTGAGGGTATCTTATGTGCTGGTTTACTGTGAGGTAGTATGAGCAACTATGAGAAAAGTGTTCTCCCTTCTTGTGTGGGACCTTACCAGTGGCGTGCCTGTGTTCTGTTTAAACTATCAATTGTGGACAAGTCTTTGGCATGCCATTTGATTCGTCATTCATATAACAGTAGTAACAAGTGCACTCTCTACAGTGTTAAGGGTCCCCATGACATATGCGTTAAACTATCTCTGTAAGCCTGTGAGTTCTTCCAAGTAGCTTTTGGAGTTGCCTCATTCAGTGCTTGGTTTAGGTATTGTAAAGGAGCGAGTAAAGGTTACCTGGGAAGTTATACATACAGCGTGTCCAGATGTCAAAGCATTTGTAAGAGGTTTTATTCTGATGCTATGCTATAATTAACCTATAAGCTGCATCAGTTTCTTGCCTCTTCTATAGGTGTCTTGTGGAACAACGTGACCATATTTGTAGAGGAATGTGTGTTCATCAAAGATGTTGGAATAGCTGCTTAAAAATTTGAACTGTTCTGAAAGGAAGAAGACTACTTAGAGGATGCATTATTTTTTTTTCTGGGGACCACTCACGAGACAAATGTAAAGGAAAACATTAAACCTTGCTAAGAATGACTTGAATGGTGATACGTACATTCTACCTATATATAGCATTAATACAACTTTCAAAGAGTAAAACAGTTTGCCTTTTGTGAATGTCCTGTTGAACGTGAAGAACAACAGGTTTTGAGCAAACAATCTGCAGATTTGGTTTTAATTATGGTTTATGTATTATTATCAGGTAATAGCAAAAAGAAAAGAAGATTCTGGAAAAATCAAACTCTTGCTTCATTGGACACCAGAGGACATGTGAGTATATGGCTAGTGATATGATATAGGATTTAAATGGGGAAGGATTTACAGTGCAGTAAATGAACTGTCTCACTAAATTATGTTATGCTGTTGAATATTTAAATTAAAGTTCATATTTTTAAAAATGCATTTTAAAAAGTAATTTAAAATTTCAAAAAATAAGCAATGATTTAATTGGTTTTTGCTTCAGCTTACAAGTCTTTAGACTCTGATACCAGTTCAGTAAATTTGAAGCTGTGGTTTTGGTGCATTTTATCACTATGGGTATTAATAACAAGGTCCTCTATTGAATGGGGACTTCAGGTTGGTTTTGCCAGCCATGTACATAAAGAAATTTATCACTGAGACAACTTTATTTTACCCCCTGATTCATCATGACCTTAAAATACTTTTAGGTATTGAGAAACGTACAATCATCAGTGTAACAGTAGAACTACAGGAATATTTGCCTGGGTGCCACGGTTTAACAATAACCACAGTTGGCCCTTTAAAGTACCCATCTCATATTGCT